GCACATGATTGGATGATGGAAGTCATCAGAGCTTCTGCTTATTTATTAATCTCTGGAACAACTGCACTTTGCAAAGTGCACAGTCTATTTGCCTTTAGTAAATCAACCCCGTACAGTACAGATTTTCCCACTTAAAGTGTATTTCCATCTTTGTAGTTAAATTGGGATAACACTTATTTTAAATTTGTTAAATTTTTAACAGACCACAGATCTCTCATTAAAGAATACCTGTCACTGCCCATGCTATCACAAGGGATTTGTCCATCCGTTTTGATAACAATAAAGTTGATTTAAAAATTTTAAAGAGTGGATTATGATCAATGAACGTTTGACCGCTATTCTTCATGATAGGGTGGTCTACTTTGAAAAAACCTGGAATCCGTGGGTGAAATATCTCTCAGCACCATCCTAGGCTGGATGGCGGACAATACGGGGAATGTATAAACAGTGCACGTCTCGTACCCCACGCTCGGTTGCCCGCCGGTTCCTCCTCCTCCACGTGTCCTTTCTTTCTCCCTCTCTATTCTTCTTCTACTTCTTTCACCTCTCCCTTCTTCCTTCTCTTCTTCACTTCTTTCCCTGTATGTTTCTTTCCCTGGTATTAGATATAGTTAACTATAGGACATGGGGGGGTGTCTCTCCTTATAGCCTGTTGATTATTGGAGGGTAATCAACCCTCCATACAGGTTATGATAGTCTCTGATGCCAGGCCTGACAAAAACTTTCAATTTAGTTTTCATTTTCTCCTTTGCCTTATTGTTACGGGCCTTACACCTATGAGTCCCAATGGGACCCTTTTGGCTATCACTGAAAGACAATTGTTCTGGAAAATTGTATTTTGTGCATTGCTTGTAGCAGCACAGGCGGGTGGCAGTTTGTGGAAAATGGATGTATAATTTTCTGTACTGGCTTGTAACTCCTTTTACAAAACGAATAAACATCATTGAAAAGAAAAAAATGTAAAGAGGCAGTGTCAATTTTTTTTAATAAAATAAATAATAAAATAGAAAAAATTGTAAAGTGCTTCGTCACTGTGCTCATGCACAAATGCGTATGAGAAATATTCAATTTCCACTTTAATCAGCCTAATTTAACAGCTCTGAACCCACTCCAGAATTTGAGCTAGCATGCAATCCGTCCAGTCCTTGACAGGTACAGAAGACCTCTACTCTTAGGTGCAATAATTTATTGGTAATGTTAGAAAATTTGTAAGTCAGCATGGACGTCAGCAGAGATTCTGCTTATTTATTAATATCTGGAACAACTGCACTTTGCAAAGTGCACAGTCTCTTTGCCTTTAGTAAATCAACACCGTACAGTACAGATATTCCCACTTAAAGTGTATTTCCATCTTTGTAGTTAAATTGGGATAACACTTATTTAAAATTTGTTACATTTTTAACAGACCACAGATCTCTCAGTATAGAGTACCTGTCACTGTCCATGCCATCACAAGGGATTTGTCCATCCATAGTGATAACAATAAATTTGAATAAAAAATTTAAAGAGGCAGTGTGGATTTTTTTCTTTGTAAATAAAATAAATAATAAAATATAAAAAATTGTAAATTGCCTCGTCCTTGTGCTCATGCATACATGCATATGTGAAATATTCAATTTCCACTTTAATCAGCTTGATTTAACAACTCTATTTTCACATGTTCATCTTCTAAAAATGGGTTAAATATCAGGATTGCAATGTTTTGTTAAGTGCCTTTATTATTGTGATTGATTTCAAGGTATATTTTTGCACAAAAATATAAACTTTACACTATACCTATATCTATCTGATATACCCATATTAAAGTGTCAATAAAACAATTTGTATTTTGTTCTGTACTTCTTTAGCTGTTACAGCTTATAGTTAGGGTAACAGCTGGAGAAGATCTAAGGTGCTTCAAAGAAATTTTGGAGGCGAAGTAATAGTTTGTGGAGAAGCTCTGGAGCCATCTGCTGGGGGCTGTGGGTGGGCTGAGAGCAGAGGCTATGGGTTTGTGAAGCTCTGAAGCCACTTCAGAATTTGAGCTAACATGCAATGCTTTCAGTCCTTGACAGGTAAAGAAGAGTCAAGCCAAAATATTTGCTGGAATAGTCCAGCTAGCTCTAAATTCCAAAAGGAATGTTAGTGCTGACGTGAGGTGACAGTTTCCTTATCTGTTTTCAATCAGCCACTTTGGGCAGCTATATCATGCCTATAGTGCCCAATTCCAGCTATTGTAACTCTACTCTTAGGTGCAATCATTTATTGGTAATGTTGGAAAATGTGTCTCAATCTCTACTGTTTGTGACCATTGGTGCCAGCAGTGCCTTTCAATGCTACATACCAGCTACTGTATTTGTGTTGCTTTGCCTGTCCTGCCCAGTGATGGTCCACCCTGTACCTGGACCCAAGAAACACTGACACCTGAAACTGTGGAATGTGCTTTGGTAAATAGACAAATCCTTGAAAGGGAAGGGAAAGGTTAAAGCAATATAAGATAAGATGGGTTGGACAGTTTTACAACAGCAGGGCAAACACAGAATAACACGTGGCACAATTACTGAGGTAGCACTGATTGTTTCCCAAGGTCGCCTATGAAATAACCAGTCCAGAACACACTCAGCCGGCATTAGAGAATGATGCAAACATGTCTGTTGCAGTGGTAACTACCCTGATTCAGTAAAGCAGTGCAAAGACAACATCAAAAGGGCAGTGCAAATAACTGTATCAATAGCAGTATAGCCTACCTACTACATAAATGCCCTACCTACCACTGGTTAGTGGCCTAACAAGTCTGTCAGTGTTGTGGCCCTTGGATAACTCGTAAGAGTACTCACTCTCCTGGGTAAAGTACCTGTGATCCCAAAGTAAATAGAAGCAGTACAATCCCCTTTAGGCAGAATCCCACAGCAATCCGTGATAGTGGCAACAACAGTGTTTTTGATACTGTCCTCTCACGCACAGCCTACTTTTGGATGACTATTTCTATGGTCAGGATTGAAGTGGATGAAGAGTAGTATGCAGCTTCTGGGTAAAGTCAGGTGAAAGGCAGCCCTTAGTGCTGGGTCTCACTCTCAAGCTGGCACTTTCTCCTCTGTGCACTGTTCATTGGCAACTGGGAACAAGCAGCACTCTGCAACCAGGAGAAAGTGCTCTGCTGCAGGGCTTAAAGTTTCAGCAGCCAGGCTAAAGCATTGAGTCAAGCAAATACATCCATGCATTCACCAGGTGATGGTGGACAGTTGGACAATGCATTTCATCACACTCTGATGCCTACAAACGCTCTTACAATGTAAAAAGCTTAATATTACCAGTATATCGCAACCCTCAACTGGGGCTGCTGAATTTAACTGGTTTTCCCTCAAACAGCACAGTGGCACAGTGCCACCAGTCACCCGAACAACAGTCCATCCACTCTGGCTCCAAATAACAGTCTAGGGGTTGACTTTTTCACAGTTTACTGCTGTTAGAACTGGTAACAAGAGAGGGATTATGGCATACTTTAAAAGAAATACTCAGCAATAGTTAGTCGTCAGAGGACAGTCTTTTAGCAGGAGTAGCAGTGGTAGCTAAGAGTGAGCAGTCCAAGGCCCCATAGTTGAAGACCAAGACACCTCTCAAGACTGAATCCCTTGTTGTGAGGTTCTACTGTCAGCTCTGAGTTAAGTTCATTTGAGCCTTTGATTCTAGCACATCTGAAGTCTCCTTGAACAGCTTTCCAGGGCATAGGCTGCATGGCAGCAGCAGTCCTCCCACCTTTGGAACCTTCCTGGGGAGAATGAACCCTGCTCTTCAGTATCTCAGACTATTTATCCACATTCCGGCCCCCTTCTGGAAAATTCCCCTTCAGGAGTTGGCTGGAACCTGATCAATATTCAGGCTACGTGATTTGAATCTCTCTCTTCCTATGCTCTGGAAGCTTCTTACACAAAATCCCAGCCCGTGATACACTAAAACAGGCCAAACCAAACAATCACTGCTCCTTTTGATTACAAGGGAACCCAAAAAGACATTTTCCTAGTCATAATCTGTACGCTTGATGCCTTTCCTTAAAACTGGAGAACATCCAAGCAAACAAGGACACTAATTGTTACTAATGGGCTAGGTTTCAACTAACTTGTGATAGAGGGTATATCAGGTTGAAGTATTTAGCTAATCTTTATTTTATGAATGCTCTTAATTCTATTCACATTAATTCAGGGGCATACAATTTATATTATTACTTATACAAGTGCGTGTGCAGAAAACGTTATGACGCTATATATATATATATATATATATGTATATATATATATATAACATTTATATAATTTAAAAGGTATTTAATGCATTTCTTTTCAAAGTTTGTACAATCAATAAAAAAAAGTTAAGAAACAGAGATCTTTCCTGAGCTTCCTTGGGTAATCTCATAAAACACAGCAAAGTATTTCTTAAATAGCCTTCATTGATTCATTTAGTTTTTGTATTTTTCTATGTATTTATCTAACACTTTACATTAGATATCAACACAATTTTGTCAGCATTTGCAAAACTTTAGGTAGAAATCTATTGAAACCACTGTACCACCAATCAAATCCTACCATATATCAAGTGGTCACCCAAACCTGAGCAGTAATTAAAACTGTAGGAGGCTCTGAAACTGGCAACACAATTGTAAAATGTATATTTATATACTGCATACTGTATAATTATATTTGTGGAAAGCTAATGTTTTAAATGGTGGGAATGTACATAAGAGTGAATTTATAACCAAATGTTTTTTACAGTTTTAGTTAGTAGGTGACCCTGCAGGGTAGATTCACCTTCTCTACTTGTACCAGGTACTCATTGTCATCAGATAGGCCTTCTATTTTTCACTGAAACAGGACGGGGGTGGGAATCCTCTAATTAGAGATGAGCGAAGTATTCAAAAATTCGATTCAGCTGATTCGGCGAATTCGCGGAATAAATTTGATTCGAGTCGAATATATTCGCTGCGAATTTAACTTATAAAAAGGGTGTTTCTAGGCTTCAGAGAGCCTTTATATTAGTGCAGAACACTGTACCTTTAATTTAAATGCCCTTGGAGTCTGCTGGGGAAGAGAAATAATACTGTCAGTCAGTATGACATGCAGATGAGTGCCGTCGATCTTAGAATCACCGCACACTTCACTCATTTGGGCAGTCACGGGGCCAAAACCAGAGTGTGGAGCCACAGTGTGGCGGTGGAGGCAGCAGCAATGGAGGCCATACAGCACCCTATGACAAAAATGGAACCCACCAGCAGCAGTGTGAGGAGACCTGAAAGTGGCACATGGCAGAGTGTGGCGATGGAGACAGCAGCAATGGGAGGCCGTACAGGGACCCATGAGACACTCTGGACCTGGCAGCAGCATGAGGAGGCGGTACAGGGGCCCATGACAGATTACGGGCCTGGCAGCAGCATGAGGAGTCGGTACGGGGGCCCATGGCAGATTACGGGCCTGGCAGCAGCAATGGGAGGGCCCGTAATCTGCCAGCCCCCTATGACAAAATGGAACCCACCAGCAGTGTGAGGAGACCTGTAAGTGGCACATGGCAGAGTGTGGCGATGTAGACAGCAGCAATGGGAGGCGGTACAGGGACCCATGAGACACTCTGGACCTGGCAGCAGCATGAGGAGGCGGTACAGGGGCCCATGACAGATTACAGGCCTGGCAGCAGCATGAGGAGTCGGTACGGGGGCCCATGGCAGATTACGGGCCTGGCAGCAGCAATGGGAGGCCCGTAATCTGCCAGCACCCTATGACAAAATGGAACCCACCAGCAGTGTGAGGAGACCTGAAAGTGGCACATGGCAGAGTGTGGCGATGGAGACAGCAGCAATGGGAGGCCGTACAGGGACCCATGAGACACTCTGGACCTGGCAGCAGCATGAGGAGGCGGTACGGGGGCCCATGGCAGATTACGGGCCTGGCAGCAGCAATGGGAGGCCCGTAATCTGCCAGCACCCTATGACAAAATGGAACCCACCAGCAGTATGAGGAGACCTGAAAGTGGCACATGGCAGAGTGTGGCGATGGAGACAGCAGCAATGGGAGGCCGTACAGGGACCCATGAGACACTCTGGACCTGGCAGCAGCATGAGGAGCGGTACAGGGGCCCATGACAGATTACGGGCCTGGCAGCAGCATGAGGAGTCGGTACGGGGGCCATGGCAGATTACGGGCCTGGCAGCAGCAATGGGAGGCCCGTAATCTGCCAGCACCCTATGACAAAATGGAACCCACCAACAGTGTGAGGAGACCTGAAAGTGACACATGGCAGAGTGTGGCGATGGAGACAGCAGCAATGGGAAGCCGTACAGGGACCCATGGACAGATTTCGGGCCTGGCAGCAGCATGAGGAGGCGGTACAGGGGCCCATGACAGATTACGGGCCTGGCAGCAGCAATGGGAGGCCCGTAATCTGCCAGCACCCTATGACAAAATGGAACCCACCAGCAGTGTGAGGAGACCTGAAAGTGGCACATGGCAGAGTGTGGCGATGGAGACAGCAGCAATGGGAGGCCGTACAGGGACCCATGAGACACTCTGGACCTGGCAGCAGCATAAGGAGGCGGTACAGGGGCCCATGACAGATTACGGGCCAGGCAGCAGCATGAGGAGCTCGGTACGGGGGGCCCATGGCAGATTACGGGCCTGGCAGCAGCAATGGGAGGCCCGTAATCTGCCAGCACCCTATGACAAAATGGAACCCACCAGCAGTGTGAGGAGACCTGAAAGTGGCACATGGCAGAGTGTGGCAATGGAGACAGCAGCAATGGGAGGCCGTAAAGGGACCCATGACAGATTATGGGCCTGGCAGCAGCATGAGGAGGCGGTACAGGGGCCCATGACAGATTACGGGCCTGGCACAGCAGCAATGGTAGGCCCGTAATCTGCCAGCACCCTATGACAAAATGGAACCCACCAGCAGTGTGAGGAGACCTGAAAGTGGCACATGGCAGAGTGTGGCGATGGAGACAGCAGCAATGGGAGGCCGTACAGGGACCCATGACAGATTACGGGCCTGCAAGCAGCACATGAGGGAGGCGGTACAGGGGGCCATGACAGATTACGGGCCTGGCAGCAGCAATGGGAGGCCTGTAATCTGCCAGCACCCTATGACAAAATGGAACCCACCAGCAGTGTGAGGAGACCTGAAAGTGCACATGGCAGAGTGTGGCGATGGAGACAGCAGCAATGGGAGGCCATACAGGGACCCATGACACACTCTGGACCTGGCAGCAGCATGAGGAGGCGGTACAGGGGCCCATGGCAGATTACGGGCCTGGCAGCAGCAATAGGAGGCCCGTAATCTGCCAGCACCCTATGACAAAATGGAACCCACCAGCAGCAGTGTGAGGAGACCTGAAAGTGGCACATGGCAGAGTGTGGCGATGGAGACATGGGCCCCCTGGCACTCACGCTTTGAGCTTTCCTGGCCACATAGTCGACACATACGGCTACGTTTACTTCCTCGGGCGGCTTGACGAAAAATTGCCACACACCGCCGAGTAGGAAACTTTTGGCCCCCGCTACTCCTCACTGGCTCAGACTGCTACTTCCTCCGTCCTCCCACTGCACACCGGCACCACTACTGGCCGTGGTGGTAGGCTGCAGTGGAGCTGGTGCTCACTACTCCGTGGCCGTTTGCCTCCACTGACACTGCTGCGACCCTGCTGCCTGGGCAACCCACCGACCATGTTTTGCTCGCTGCCCAAGCTGGCACCCTCTTCTCCTGAAATGCGGAAGCAATAGCCTGATGACGACGAGGCTGGCCAAGTGCGATCAGCCTCTCATACATCATCAATTAGGGTCTCCGCCTCACTATACTAGCCCCCTCGGCTGCGTTGTGGGTCAGGAGACAGACCTGTCTCTAGACCGGTACTAACCGAGCCAAAACCTCCTCGCCGTAACTACTTCTTCGCCTGGCTGCTGAAGAGGCGGATATCTCCCCCCGTTCCTGACCAGCACCTCTGTTAGCTCTTCCTCACTGTACAGTGGGGGCTGAAGCCCACAGCATGCGATACTTCGCTTGGTGAGGGAACACAAAGGACAGGGGCAGGGTAGAGGACACCGCGTGATTTCAGTGGGCTTGCTCCCGGGCCATGCCAACTAACGGTTGTGTCTGATGTACCCACCGACCGTTGGCTGTAGGTGTCAGAGGTGACCTGGGAAGAGGGAAGACGACCCTGAGCCAACCAATCGATGACGGCAGGGTTGTCGGTGGAGACACGAGCATCGCAATGGATGGATGACACGGGAGCACTGGCCTCTGGCTGCGACTAGTGCTGCCTCGGACCCTTCCTCTGCTGCCACTCCTCTGCGTGTTGTCTGATATACTCTTTAATTCAACGATTCTGTGTCCCTGAGTAACGATTCTGTGTCCCTGAGTAACAATTCTGTGTCCCTGAGTAACAATTCTGTGTCCCTCAGTAACAATTCTGTGTCCCTGAGTAACGATTCTGTGTCCCTACAGTAACAATTCTGAGTCCCTGAGTAACAATTCTGTGTCCCTGAGTAACAATTCTGTGTCCTGAGTAACAATTCTGTGTCTGTCCCTGAGTAACAATTTCTGTGTCCCCTGAGTAACGATTCTGTGTCCTGAGTTAAGGATTCTGTGTCCCTGAGTAAGGATTCTGTGTCCCCTCAGTAACAATTCTGTGTCCCCTGAGTAACGATTCTGTGTCCCTGATAACGATTCTGTGTCCCTGAGTAACAATTCTGTGTCCCTGAGTAACAATTCTGTGTACCCCTGAGTAACAATTCTGTGTCCCATCAGTAACAATTCTGTGTCCCTCAGTAACTATTCTGTGTCTGTCCCTGAGTAAACAATTCTGTGTCCCTGAGTAACAGTTCTGTGTCCCAACCCCCTCTGAGTAACAATTCTGTGTCCCTGAGTAACATGTTCTGTGTCCCTGAGTAACAATTCTGTGTACCTGATAACAATTCTGTGTCCCTCAGTAACAGTTCTGTGTCCCTCAGTAACAATTCTGTGTCCCTCAGTAACGATTCTGTGTCCTCTGAGTAATGATTCTGTGTCCCTCAGTCTGAACAACATTCATGACGTCCCTGAGTAACAATTCTGTGTCTGTCCCTGAGTAACAATACTGTGTCCCTGAGTAACGATTCTGTGTCCCTGAGTAAGGATTCTGTGTCCCTCAGTAACAATTCCCTGTGTCCCTGAAATGTAACAATTCTGTGTCCCTGAGTAACGATTCTGTGTCCCTGAGTAATGATTCTGTGTCCCCTCAGTAACAATTCTGTGTCCCTGAGTAACAATTCTGTGTCCCTGAGTAACAAACACTGATTCTGTGTCCCCATGGCAGTAACAATTCTGTGTCCCCTCAGTAACAATTCTGTGTCCCCATGAGTAACAATTTCTGTGTCTGTGTCCCTGAGTAAACAATTCTGTGTCCCTTAGTAACAATTCTGTGTCCCCTGAGTAACAATTCTGTGTCTGTCCCTGAGTAGCAATTCTGTGTCCCTGAGTAACAAATTTGATGTGTCCCTCAGTAACAATTCTGTGTCCCTCAGTAACAATTCTGTGTCCCTCTAGTAACAATTCTGTGTCCCTGAGTAACAATTCTGTGTCCCTGAGTAACAAATTCCTGTGTCTGTCCCTGAGTAACAATTCTGTGTCCACCTGAGTAACAATTCTGTGTCCCTGAGTAACAATTCTGAGTAACAAAATTCGTCCCTGAGTAACAATTCTGTGTCCCTCAGTAACAATTCTGTGTCCCCTCAGTATAACTAATTCTGTGTCTGTCCCTGAGTAACAATTCTGTGTCCCTGAGTAACAATTCTGTGTCCCCGAGTAACAATTCTGTGTCCCCGAGTAACAATTCTGTGTCTGTCCCCCTCAGTAACAATTCTGTTGTCCCTCAGTAACAATTCTGTGTCCCTCAGTATACAATTCTGTCATGTCCCTCAGTAACAATTCTGTGTCTGTCCCTCAGTAACAATTCTGTGTCCCTCAGTAACAATTCTGTGTCCCTCAGTAACAATTCTGTGTCTGTCCCTCAGTAACAATTCTGTGTCCCTGAGTAACAATTCTGTTGTCCCTCAGTAACAATTCTATGTCTGTCCCTGAGTAACAATTCTGTGTCCCTGAGTAACAATTCTGTGTCCCCTGAGTAACAATTCTGTGTCTGTCCCTGAGTAACAATTCTGTGTCCCTGAGTAACAATTCTGTCCCTGAGTAACAATTCTGTGTCCCTCAGTAACAATTCTGTGTCCCTGCATAACAATTCTGTGTCTGTCCCTGAGTACAATTCTGGTGTCCCTTGAGTAACAATTCTGTGTCCCTCAGTAAACAATTCTGTGTCCCTCAGTAACAATTCTGTGTCCCTGAGTAACAATTCTGTGTCCCCCCCCCCTGAGTAACAATTCTGTGTCTGTCCCTGAGTAACAATTCTGTGTCCCTGAGTAACAATTCTGTTGTCCCTGAGTAACAATTCTGTGTCCCTGAGTAACAATTCTGTGTCCCTCAGTAACAATTCTGTCTGTCCCTGAGTAACTTTCTGTGTCCCTGAGTAACAAGTTCTGTGTCCCTGAGTAACAATTCTGTGTCCCTCAGTAACAATTCTCTGTCCCTCAGTAACAATTCTGTGTCCCTGAGTAACAATTCTGTGTCTGTCCTCCAGTAACAATTCT